CCGAAAGATTAACAGCTAAAAAGCCTGTGTGGTAAGAGCTATGCTGAGCTGACTCAGAAGCAGAAGAGTTGACTTCTCTTATCTACCTGACGTAGCTTAGAATGCGCAACTGCCAACTACATAGTATCTTGCAGGCTGTCTGCTGCAGCTGTGTCTATCTGTTAGATACGTCTTTGTTGCCTCATTTATCGGGTCTTCGGCTTGTTCTTTTGTTTTCACACTTGCACAATTGTTTGCCTTGGCCTTATCTCTATAAAGTGTTACCTTGATGTTTAACAACGCAACTAGCTAGAGTTTAAGATAGTCAAGAGATGGTCCCAAATGCATTGCCTAGGGACTGGCGATTGGCGATTGGTGACTTGTGACTGGCGACTGGGAGGGTTCAATGCACTTGACTCCGCCGGAGAGCACAAATACAACTAATTAACCTACAAAAATGCAAATTTCTGCAACACACCCACTTCACATGGGTGTGGGAAAGGGGACCGAGAACAATTTCTAAGGCAAACAATCAATCAACGCTGTTGGCCACTTGAGCACGTCCTCGGCGAGGAGGGCTTAGGAGGCGGCTAAGACTGGCACTGCCACAACGAGGATACACGAACCTATGCCCAGGCCACAGGTGGGGGCTGCTGGAGGGGGTGTGCAGGATGGGTGCGCAAAAGTAATATTTATTATGTGTATACTTCTCTGACAAACAACACAAGAACCTGAAAGACACTGCGACCAAAAGGGCAAAAGGGGAACGGAACGCGAGAAAGCCCAGGGAATGAGGTCTCCGAGAGACTCCACTGGAGACCTGGACTACGCTGCGGCATGGCTTGGGTTAGTTTAGGAGTCAAGTCGAGTCGAGGGGCCTTGTCTCCCATGGCATGCTGCCAATAGCTCAATAACACCCCGGGGACCAATTGAGATCTTTTTAGTGGGATAGGTAGGCACCTAGGACACCGATGGCTTGCTGACTGAGACAGACAGTGGGCCAGAACTCCCGGGAAATTCTTAGAGAGTGATAGAGCGCGAGGGAAACTATAGAAAGAGAAAAGAAGAGAAAGGGGCAGAAGAAACTTATATTAGAAATAGTACTATATTCATTTGTTTGTACATCAAAACTAATTTAGTTCTCTTTCTGTAGAATAGGATATATAACACATACAAAATATGGCTTTATGGGAAATATAGGTCAAAACGTATATATTACTTTTAATATATTTCCATGTGTCCAAGAATTGTGTGCACTCTCTAATGCATTGTTTCGGCCCCACTGTGGTCACATGCCAATTGTTTTGCCAGACAAATAGACGGCCGCCGCAACAGCAAAAAGTCCACAATTACTGCCTTTGGGCCAGGGCATTTGGTGGGGTCTAAGTCTTGGTCTTGGGTCTCAGTCTTCGCCTTAGTCTTAGTGGGGTGCCCAGTCACGCGCCCGGGCACAACAAAATAGACAAAAAATAGCAAGTTGAGATTTTTTTCGGGGTCTTCGGGTGGATTTTGTGTTTTTCAAGAATCAAAACCGAAAGGCTGCAACCCGCTGACCTGACCTGTCAACATCACACTGCCCCCCATAAAAGTATGAACACCCTTTGCGCTAATATAATGGGTTCTGAGGTGGATGGGGCCCAGGTAACTAAAATGTTCCACGCCATTGACTTGACAATGCATTCCGACATCCGTTTTGCACCTCGTCGCGTTTCTTTAGCCTTTGTTTTTTGCCCTTTCCTGTCGCACCGCCAACTACAAAGGAAATCCCAAACGATAGGTGGTCCTACGATGCCCTCGCATCGCTTCCCATCCCATCCAATGCCATCTCCTCCTGTCCTCCCAGCCAATACTATGGCAAGGTAATCCGAGAGCCGTGTTAGGGACGCTTTTGCCGGCTTCATTAGCCTTCAAATCGGCGACAGACAATCCTACAATTATGGCCCAGCATTTATGCACTAGTCAAAACCCAAGGAGAAGACAGGCCGACATGGGCACACTGCAGAGCGAGAAACAAAAGCAAAAGTGCTGCTAAATTTAGAACCACCGACTATAGTCGGGAGGGGGACTAAGCCTGTGGGGTCTCTAGGTTGAGTAACCGCAAGAGGGGAGCGACCGGTACGAGCAGCAGAGGGATCGGTGCAGGGAATCGACTTTTCCCTGACGCCTTCTAATTGCTGCTCGGTGAGCGGAAGCCAAGAGTTGGGTTCTATTTTTACATGCACACTCACATTAGCCGCGGAGCAACTGCCTCTGCTGAAGGGGGAGCCTAATGTGGAACAAACTCAAGGAGTGCTCAGTCTGCACCAGAGAGGAGTGCATAATTCTCCGGCCAGAGACTGAATTTTAAATGCCTGAAACCGGGCGGATTCTTTGATGACAGCCATAACGATGTACAAGAGAATATTTTTAAAGTAAGAATGCCAGGCGCCATTTAATTCTAAAAAAGGTTTCTATTTCATACTTAAAAGAGAGAATATTAATTTTAAAAAAATTAATTAAAAGGGAGCAATAAATAGAGCTGAAGTCCATACTTTTGGAACATATTTGATCTTTGAAATGTCTACAAAATAATTATTAATGAAAGTCTGAACTAAGTTTCATTGCTTTAGAAATGTTCAAATATAAATCTTTTTGTTGAATTACGTTTAGTGTATTTTTAAAGTAACTGATAAAAGAAATACATAAGAATTCCAAATGATTACGAATTAAAATAAAGTAAATTCAACATAAATTTATTTTAGGAATATTTTTATAATTATTAATTTTAGGAAACGGTTTAATTGGATTTCAAGAAAAATAAGAAAGTAATTTTGAATCAGTTTTTCAAAGAAATAAAAGCAATCGATAAGACAGGAAACTAACAGTAGTTTCTTAGTTAGGGTGTTTAACCTTAAATCTGCCTACTTATGCCCAGCTCCACTTCCTCCACTTGTTGACACAGTTGTTCTACCCACTGGGCATATTGACTCAAATGACTTTCACACTCAAATAGTAAACTTTATTTTTTCTTTTGTGAACACTTGACTCCAACGCTCTGCTCCGGTTCGCTCAGTCCGGGTAATTCAATATTGTAACTCGAGTTATTTATAAATTAGGAAATGCGGCCAGGAACAGCTAAGCCAACAAATCGATCAACTAGTTCTCCGTTTTGTGGATCATTTACATGCCCCCTCGACATATTTCACGGCTGTCAAGTGTTGTTGCCCTCGTGTTTTTCGGGGGAGCTCTATCAGTTCTGGTTGTTTTTTATACTGCGACTTCCTCAATAAATATTTAACAATTAACAAGACTTTGGTGCGAGTGCTTGTGCAAATTTCATGGGGGTCATTCTGGCAGTTTTTTAAAGATCAGTCACGCAGTTGAAGCATTCTCCCTCACTGCTCATGGGCACATTAGATTTCTATTCGCACTTAGCCCACAAAAAGCAAATTTCGCCCCGGGGCATAGATCTCTAGCGGATCCGTACATTTTCGGGTGATCAATTAAACTCATTCCAATTTGGCAACCGAAAAGAGCTGTGCCAGAAATTGCTTTTGACAAACGCATAATTAATTTTTACAAGCCGATTCGCCACTCAAAACTATAAGCTGCTGTCACTGTTTGTGATCAGATAAAATATTAAGCATAATAAAAGATTTTTCGACCCTTTACATACGCTCGACAACTGCACAGCTAAGCTGTTCTACTTAAATAGCAACAAGAACAGCAATAAAAGCAAAAACAGATCACACATTATTAGGGTCAGATGTTTAAAAATACATTTAACCAGAACAAAAACGAGAGCATCACCGAAAATATGAAATAATTATTAATCAGGGCAAGGGAAAGGAGAGGCAAAAGTGCTTCAAGTTGACTAAATAGTATTGTTATTATATAATTTAACAACTCTACTATTAAATTTATTTAAACAATTAATTTTAAATTTTATTTTCGCATTATGCCTTGGTTTGTTCCTATCTTTTCTTAAGATATCTTTTTAAAAAATTGAGATTAGATATGGCTTATCTCATATTTCGATCGGGTTGACATGTGTCTGTACCCTCCGACATTCTAACACCTCAATTTGCATAGGTTTAAAAAAACCAAAAACCCAACTTTCCCAGTGTTAAACCCATTTTATAGATTTTATTTTTCTTGGCTGGTTGGTTTTCTTCTATGTTTTATGATGTTTTATTAAATTCAAATTCCAAAACCTATCATGGCATATAAAAAAGCCGGTTGTTCAACTCTAGCCTGGCCGGTTCAGGGCGTTGTTTTGTCGTAAATTTTTTTGGTTGTGACCCAACTTGGTCCCGGGTAAATACAATAAACGATTTTCACTTTTTCTTTTGGCGTCTTAGTGGGTTTTTATGTTTCCTACGCTTTGATTAGTTTTTGTTATTTTAATTAGTTTTCAGTGGCATTTTTTCGTATCGTTATTTTCTTTTCTCGAATTCTAAACCCCTGATTCCAGTGAAACGAGAAAGCGAGTGTTTTCCTTTGTTGTGCCGCAATTTTGTTTATTTTCAATATGTTGTTCGTTGCTGACCCTTTCTGATGCTTCATTAAACGAAAGTTTTAAGATTAGAAGATCGTTTTGCCTTCAGGCGAATGATGCTTTGTATAAAGTTGATGAATTAATCTGTCAAAACTCTTGGTTTTCCTAGATTGGATCATTACCTTAAAAAAAATGTGTCAACTTTGACAAATTCATGATTTAAATTTAAATTTTAATAAAGAAGTAAAAGAGAACAACTATTTGTTTTTCCAAAATTTCCAATAAAAATATATCCATTTAGAAAATATTAAAGCTTTATACAGATTTATGGAACTAAATCCCACTCCACACGACAATTTTAAGTAATAAATTAGGTTTAAGATCTTAAATGTCACCCTCAGATGGCTTTCTGTTGGCTTTTCTCTCATATTTTTCCTGGCTCATGACATCCAAGCTTCAAGCTTGACATTCCCTGCCTTTGAGGAAAACCCAAAAAAATTTCCCTGCCGTAAATTGTAAAAATTCAGTGCTTCACTTCACTTACCCTATTGCATTCCAAGGCGGACGCCGAGTGCTCCTCTCGCTGCCGGAAGCAGTGGCTGCACTTGCTCTTGTTGAAAATGTTCGGCGTGAATTTGCGGCAGTCGGCAGTGCGTGCGGCCCCCGATGCTGCTGCTGCTGTGGGCGTGGGCGGCGCCGATGTTGAGGGGGCGGCGGCCACTGTCGTTGTTGTTGTTATTGTGGAAGTTGACATTTCGTTCGCTTCGCTCAGAAACAAAAACACAAAAATGGGGCGATGGGGTCGCGGCAGGGGAGAAAAATAGGCAGAGGTGGAAAGAGACAGAGAGAAGGGGGTATAGAGAGAGAAAGAAGAATGCGTTCAAGCTCCCGAAAGTTGCAGCATGGCCGAATTTGACGTTGACACTATTTTTATTTTGAATTGCGATTCCTTTTTCCGTTTGCGATTCCCGTAAGGATGCTGCCACGCAAGGTGCTGTTACGTAACGATTCTGCAGGCCGCGGCTGCCACTGCCATTGTGTTACTCTTGTTTCCAGCTTTCAGCTCACTTTTCACGCCAACCGAGTTTGGGCATTATTATTATTATTTGCCTTTATCAGCGACTTTAATTTCACTGCGAATGTGCGGCACACAGGGAGCGAGAGAAATTATTCAATTTTGCTTTGCACTTTGATTCTTGGCTTTGGCACATTCACACACATTTACGCACAAAAAACACCGCAAACTCACGGATACCGCTCGGCACACTCAGATACACTCGCACAACTCGCAGGCACGCATACACACACCCGCTGCAAACCAGAGCAGAAGTTTGCGATGCTTCTTCTTGGCCTTGTTGTTGCTTTTCCACCTTTTGTTTTGTTTTTTATCTTTCTCGTGGCAGTAGTTGTTGTTATTATTTTCGTACTCGAACCCGGTGTGTTCGACTCGTAACTGTTATTAGTATTTTTCGAGCACAAGCGTTTTTTCCTCCGAATACCGCGGCACTTCGAGGCTTCGTTCTTGCCAGAATATTTGTATTCCGAGTTCAGATGTGCGGATTAGTCAATGGGAATGGAGAAAGAGGCAGCCGAACGAAGTTCGTACTTTTCGACAACAATCATCCGCCGCGTGGTACCGCTCTCATGAGTAAATTTTTTCGAACTGACTGTTAAATTGTATCGAGGCTCCATTCGTTCTGTCGAGCCATTTCTCTGCCCAACATGTTTGAAGTAAGCAGCTGATTGGATGTTAATATTATGGGGGAGGGCGGGTTAGATTCATAGGCCACTGTTCAAGCAATTTTTGTGGCAAAACGGTTAAAGTTAGCTTAAGGGGGTCTTCTCATTCAAAAGCCGTTTTTTGGACCCTTTTTAAAAAAATTCTTATTTGAAAACGCAAAGAATAATTGAAAACTTTTTTTATTTATTGTATTCAAAAATGTTCAAAGTAACTAAAAAAGTTGTTCTTGCCGCGATACGAGGGTTGTTCAAAGAGTAATGAGACTTCAAACTTGGTGGTCGAAAAAAAGGTGTCGTCCTGGCGGCCACGATTCAGGGTCTCCAGAGCGTCCGAAATGAAAAATAAAAACGGGGTTATAATCAGAATTGATGTCATTTTCGGCTGACGGAACAGATTTTTTTTAAAAATTTTTAAAACAAAATGGCGGCCATTCAAAAAAAAAAATTCGATTTCGGGCGTTTTTTTTGTAGTTTAGTGTAAAAAAAAAATAGAAAAAAAAATTAAAAAAAAAATCTGTTCCGTCAGCCGAAAATGACATCTATTCTGCGTCGATTCCACTTTGTTTCATGAAAATCGGTTGAGTTGAACTGGAGATATCATGGCCGCCAGTTCGAAAAACGTGGTTTCGAGATAAACGCGTTTGAAGTTTGAAAAAAGCTCATTTTGCATAGATCTTGCTTCACAAAAAAGGCCGTATCTTCTAAAGTATTTCGAATTTCCTTTTGGGGACATATACACACCATCCCAAGCTATAAATAAATGCAAAAAAAAAAAAATCGAAAAAAAAAGTTGCCCAATGAGAAGACCCCCTTAATAGTTTAAAACTATATAATAGCACAACCTTTGAACAATTTATGTTAAATTTTCCATTAAAAATAGGAATTACAGGGTATCTTCCAGGGATCGTATGCGTATACGTAATGCTTATTACATTCCCCAAATAAACAAGGATACTAAAATACATTGGCAACAGCTCCGGTCAATTTAACATTTTAACGTTATTTTTTCAGAGAGTGTAGTTATTTTTTTCTATATAACTTTAAAATAACTCTTATTTTATAATTTGTATTATAAAAATTATAACTGTTACGATCCCTGGTATCTTCTCAGTGCCCCTAAAAAGGTTCGTTTGGTGTCTAAAGAATCATCCAATGCCAAAGAAGTTTATTGCATTAGTTTAAGGATAAATGCCCTTAGGTGAATACCTAGTAGTGTAGGAACATATTAAGACCACCATGTATTATAAGTGGAAACATATTAGGACCACCATGTATTATAAGTGGAAACAATATTAGGACCACCATGTATTAGATCGATTGTAAATAAAGTAGGTTATCGATAGTTTGTAATGACATATGTATATTGAGGGACTGCGATCACTACTTTTGGTCGGCGTCTTTTTGGCAAAAGAAGTGCGTACATTTCGGTGTTAAATAAAACAGATAAAAACTAAACTATACAAAGGCCTACAATATTCAGAAGTGGTCTTGAACACGCCTTAAGTGAACTGTGTCATCATCATCAAATTAACAAATCTGGAAATACACACATACATGCCATCGACAAACTTAAAAAATTTGCTTAAAAAAGAATTGCAATTTTTGTGCGTCGTGAATAGTTTGGATGCTACCGGCACCAAAAATATTCTGATTTGGAGGTTGCAACAAATAGCGAAACCACAAATTGAGCAGAGCGTGCTGAAATTAAAAAGTAATTGTGAATTTACTAAATTCGACGAAATGGAACATTCGAGAAACCTTTCGAATGGGACGAAAAACGACGCCACCATTTCGACAGAAACCAAGAACAACAACGTAGAGAAATGCGACGAAGGAGAAGAGAGAAACAACGAGAGTGGCCAACAGAATAGCGAGAGACGAGAGAAGATGCAAAATGAAGATGGCGACGACCAGTACAACGACGAAGAAGATGGAAAGGACGACGTAAAGAAAATCGACGACGTAAAGAAAATCGACGACGTAAAGAAAATGGACGACGTAAAGAAAACCGACGACGTGAAGAAAAATGAAAACGTAAGGGAGATAGACAACGCGAAGCAAGATGGAAATGGAAACAACAACGTAAGGGAAGCGGACGAAAAAAACAATGGAGATTTTAACGAGTCCGGAAATATGAAAGAGCAATGCGATTTAGACGTTATTCTACAACGCTTTGAAATTTTTAAGAAAGATGAAAAAATACGTCAACTGGAGAAAGAATTGGCTAATATTAAAAACCAACAAAGTTATGCAGAGGGTACTAGAAACAAAATATCTCTGGAAATGCTAAAGGAACTGGTATACGTTTTTGAAGGCGACAATAAATTCTCCAACTGGCGTACAATGATCAACAATGTTCGGAAAATGTACAACGTAGATGACGATGTGATGCGAGCGGTAATCTTTAACAAAGTCAAAGGCAAAGCATTGGAGTGGGTGATTGCTAATCCTACGCTAATGGCAGAAACTGTAGATTTTCTGCTAGATGAAATGGCCAAACATTTTGAAAAGAAAGGGTCTAAACTTATTACCAGGAAAAAACTTCAATTATGCACCTGGAAAAGAGGAAAACGCTTCGACGAATATTTCCAAGAAATGGTATCTCTGGGAAATGAAATTGACCTGGATGAAGATGAGCTGATCGAGTACATGATAGCGGGAATTCCGGATGTAAATCTTCGGAACATGGCGAAACTCCAAAATTTCTCGACGAAGACCGAAATTTTAGAAGCATTCATCGACATCGAGTTACAATGGACATCATCCATACAACGAAACGCACAGGAACAGAAGGGTACTGAAAAAACTCAAAGGCGAAATGTTAAGTGTTACAACTGTAACAGTTTGGGGCACATAGCAAGCGAATGTCGAAAGCCGAAACGAGAGATGGGTACTTGCTTCGCTTGTGGAAAACCTGGACATCAAGCTAAGGATTGTGAGCAGTATAAGAAACGAGATGAACAAAATGAATATGTAAGTTATATGAAAGTAATATTTTTATCGGATACTCATTGTAAACCCATTTTTATAGAAACACTCTTAGATTCAGGAAGCCCCATAAGTTTGATAAAACAAGCATACGTTCCACCGCAAATACATTTAAGGAAAATGAATAACAGAAGTTTTGTTGGAATTAACAAAAGTAAACTGAAGATTTTTGGAAGTGTAAAATGTTTAATTTCTTTTTCAAATAAAGACATATTGTGCGAGTTAATGGTGGTGGATAATGAATCTATGGGTTTTTCGATTATTTTGGGTAGAGATTTCTTAAAACAATGCAACATGAAACTGACTATTGGAAAGAGAACCGAAGAAGCTGTCGAAGAAATTAATATTATGGAATTGAGTGAAAATAATGACACGGATATAAAAGTCAGTATTATAAGTGAGGAAAAATGTTCGGGAAAGAATCAAAAACGAAGTATAGGAAAAGAAACAGAAGAAAAAAGTTTTGAAAATCAAATATTAGCAATTGAGTATGATATTCCAGACGAGAAACATGAATATAGTATTGGAAAATCCGTTAACTACAAACAAAGAATAAAGTTAATTAATCTTATTGAGAGTGGTTATATAAAATGCGCAAGGCCAGTTGAACCGAAAATAAAAACTGAAATGCAACTAGAGGTTGAAGATAACAAGGCATTTAGTAGTGCTCCTAGAAGATTGTCCTACGCTGAGAAGTCCAATGTTCAAAAAATTATTGATGAGGGTTTAGAAAATGGTATTATACGAGTTAGTGAATCCAAATATTCATCTCCAATAGTATTGGTTAAGAAGAAAACTGGTGGTTTGAGAATGTGCGTAGACTATAGACGTCTTAATAAACTGACTACAAAAGTAAAATATCCTATACCATTGATAGACGACTTGCTAGATGGTCTGGTTAACAAAAGAATATTTACGAAATTAGATCTGAAAAATAGTTATAACCATGTATATATGCATCCTGATTCAATTAAGTTTACTGCTTTCATAACTCCACTAGGACAGTTTGAATACTTAAGAATGCCATTTGGATTAACAAATGCACCATTTATATTTCAACGGTTTATAAACAAAGTGTTTGAGAAAATGATAAGAGAAGGAAAAGTTGTAGTATATTTGGACGACATAATGATTGCTACACGAGAATACGAAGAACATATAGCAATTTTGGGAGAGGTCTTTAAACTTTTGGTAGAAAACAAACTTGAATTGAGAATGGATAAGTGCAGTTTTTTAGAAAATGAAGTAACATATCTTGGATATGTTATTTCAGAAAGGGGTATACAGGCAAATGAGGAAGGAATTCGGGCAATAAATGATTTTCCAATTCCTACTAAGGTCAAAGAAGTTCAGAGTTTTATAGGAATGTGTTCCTATTTCCGGAGGTTTATCAAAGACTTCTCATTTATTGCAAAACCGCTTCACGATTTGATGAAAAAGGACAAAAAATTCGAATTTGGACTAAATGAAATGGAGGCGTTTGAATCATTGAAAAGAAAATTATTAGAAACACCAATTTTAGCAATATATAACCCAGAAGATGAAACAGAGTTACATTGCGATGCAAGTGCAATTGGATTTGGGGCGATATTATTACAAAGGAAATGCGACGGAAAGTTTCATCCAATTTTTTACATGTCAAAGCGAACCACGGAAGCAGAATCTAGATATCATAGTTTTGAATTAGAAACTTTGGCAGTGATATACGCGTTGAAACGTTTTAGGATATATCTTCAAGGCATTCCTTTTAAGGTTGTAACAGACTGTAATTCGTTAAAGTTGACTTTACAAAAGAAAGAACTAAACCCGAGAATAGCAAGGTGGGCATTAGAGCTAGAAAATTATGATTGCGAATGGGAACATAGGTCGGGAAAAAGGATGCAACATGTTGACGCATTAAGTAGGTGTAATACAATTATGGTTA